GATCAGTTGAACTGATCAGTTAGTTATTGCACAGGGCTAGAACTCCGACCTGCGGTTCTGAAACCCCTGCCCTGTCCAAGACTCTAAAAATGAGCTCTATTTTTTGGGACATAGTAAAATCACAGAGAGAATTCTCAGGATGTGCTTGGTTTAGAAACAACCTCCCTCCAAAGTTGAGTGATGCAAAACTTCTCGAAGCCCAGTTGAGGTCAGCTGGGGCCTCACCCAGGTATCGGCTGGGCTGGGGGCCTTGTCAGGGTGAAGGAAGGGAACCGTGGCTGTGCCTGTCCCTGGGTTAGGCGCTCTCTTTCCGGGCGAGGCCACCTTGGTTTCCCAGCTGCCCAGCGCGCGTGTCCGCGGCGCCCGCTAGGGGGCGCAATGCCTCCTGGGAGGCGGGCGCTCGGGAGGAAGCCGTGAGCGCCCCTAGCGCCCCGCGCAGCCTGCGGACCTTCAAATCCCCGGGCTTTAGACCGGCTTGGTTCTCCCCTCCAGAATCGAGCTCCACTGCCTCTTGAGCTGCACGGAGATAAGGTGGAAAGGGCCGGCCCGTGAAGCCCGGGACGTCGGGAATCAAATCCCTGCTCTGCCCCTTCGCAGCGCAGCGCTGTGGCCGCGGGCGTCCCCGGAGCCCGGCCTCTCCCGCAAAAGGAAAAGGGCTGCTGGGCCCACCTGCCTGGCAGGGCCGCTGGGACGCGCCGCGCTGCGCTCAACACCCACAGATCTTGCGGCTACTCAGCACAAGGCTGGCGGCTGTTTCGGGTACTACACGCCCGCCACATTTTTTTTAGAGTAAAAGCATTTATTCATGGGAGAAGAGATGCGAAACGCAGCCAGGTGACACTGGCCTCCCATGGGTGGGTGCTTGGTCAGAGGGAAACGCCTCACCAAGGCTGGCATTGGTCTGGGTGGACTGAGGCACGAGAGGATCGGTGAAGCTATCAGAGGAACTGGGTTCTCTTCCAAGGATGGTGTCCAGGAGGGCGCATATTTTGGGCAATTGGAAGGCTGTCTGCCCTGCACAAGCCGACTGCTGGAAGTTGCTGTCCTGCCTTGCCCATGGGTCAGGATGATCAGCCAGCTCTGGGTGACAGGGGAAGCAACTGCGGCAGAAATCACAATGAACTCCCAAGACAGGCCTCTCTCCTGTTTCCTGTTTTTTTTTTTTTTTTTTTTTTTTGCTGGAGTCTCTCCCTGCTGCCCAGGCTGGAGTGCAGTGGCGTGATCTCGGTTCACCGCAACCTCTGCCTCCCAGGTTCAAGCGATTCTCCTGCCTCAGCCTCCTGAGTAGCTGGGGCTACAGGTGTGCGCCACCACACCCCGCTACTTTTTGTATTTTCAGTAGGGATGGGGTTGCACCATGTTGGCCAGGATGGTCTCCATCTCCTAACCTCGTGATCTGCCCGCCTCGGCCTCCCAAAGTGCTGGGATTACAGGCTGAGCCACTGCGTCCCTCCTATTTCCCCTGTTCTTGAGGGGTGTTGTCCAAGACAGTAGCCACAAGCCATAGGTGCTATTGAGCAGCTGAAATGTGGCTACTGCAACTGAGGAAATGCATTCTTAATTAATGAAAATTTAAAAATAGATACTAATTCTGTAACTGTAAAAACTTTGAGTACACCTGAAACAATTTGAGGATGTGAATGTTTACGACTGTACATATAATGAAATCTAAATACAGATCAAGTTTTTCTGATGAAAATATAGTATCTGAATTGGGCTGTAGGTGTAAACTTCTCATAGGATTCAAAGACAATTTCCAAAACAGAGTGCAAAATGTCTCGATGTGCTGGGCACAGTGGTTCACACCTGTAATCCCAGCACTTTGGGAGGCCGAGGCGGGTGGATCATGAGGCTAGGAGATCGAGACCAGCTTGGCCAACATGGCGAAACCCCGTCTCTACTAAAAATACAAAAAATTAGCCAGGTGTGGTGGTACATGTCTATAGTCCAAGCTACTCAAAAGGCTGAGGCAGGAGAATCACTTGAAACCAGGAGGCAGGGGTTGCAGTAAGCTGAGATCGTGCCACTGCACTCCAGCCTGGGCGACAAGAGCGGGACCTCATCTCAAAAAAAAAAATGTCTTGATAATTTACAGTTGAAATAGTATTTTAGATATATTGGGCTAAATGAAATGTATTATTAAAATTAATTTTATCTGCCTATGTGCTTGTGTTAGATTCCTCTTAGACAGGGCTGGCTTAGACCCTCTCCTGGGCCTTCATCCCTCTAACGCCATTTAGGCCTGGCCCCTTGGCCTTGCTTCAAGGTCTTGTCTGCTCTTTGGAGCTGCCATGTGCTGGGTCAGACCAGAACCGGGGGCAGAGGCTAAAGGTGAGACCCACTCCTGTCCAGAAGCAAAGGGCTGGGGGCGGGGGCTACCCTGGCAGCCAGAGCTCTGGAGCCAGTTATATACCTGGCACAGTGGTGGTTAGGGTGAGTTTAGGCTGGGCTTGGGGTAATGATTCAAGATAACACCCTGCTGTGAGATATCGTTAACTGGTGAGGAAGAGGAGGAACTCAGGGCTACAAGACAGAGACTAAGTTTCTGCAACCAGGACTTCAAAGTAGACATGGTCACAGGACTAAATGAGGCCTTAATTACTCTAAGTGCAGACTAGCACAGCAACAAGCTTTCCTTGAGGGTGTGTGAATTTCACTGGTCAAGGAGCAGGCAGTCCTCGGCCTGCATTTGTGGCAGGAGCCCTGGCTGGGGTAGGGATCCCAGGGAGGACACCAGAGAGGTTTCTCACCCTTGCCAAAGCCACCAGCCCCACAGTGGCCTCAGTGCCCAGCCCTGCTTTGGATCTGAGCTACCCCACATCCCCTACTATGGTGCGAAACATGGCATGGCCCAGTAGGGCCGTGTCTGCCTCCAGTCCCAATCAGGCTGCCCCAAATATAAGGGACCCAGAGGGCTCTGGCTCAGGCCAAAGGCGTCTGAAGGGTCCATACAGGATCCTGGCTATCCACCCTGCCCTGCACCCCATTTCCTTCCTCAGCTCCAGGGTTACACAGTGGCAGGCTGCCCAGGCCAAGTTCCACGTCTGTCCCAATCCTTGATCCACTAACACACGAAATCAGCTCAGAAGCGGTTATGCAGCCCTTGGATAGAAACAGCCAGCTTCCTCCACTCACCCACTGGGCTGGCTATGTTTGCCCTACAAACAGGACAAAGTCCAGGCCTCCTGACCCCAGGGAGTAAACCCTGCAGCTTTGCTCTGCTACACTTTAAAGCACAGGCTGCTTTGAAGTTAACTCGGCAGTCGTTCGCCTTCTCCAGCAAGGCCGAATCCACGGTTCTCTGCCAGGGTGAGGGGTGCTCATTCAGATCAAAGGTTTGGGGCTTCAGTTCCTGGCCCCTTTACAGGCTTAAGTTTTTGATTTGCCAACCAAGGGACTCTTGTGCACTAAGTTTTGGAGACAAACACTTTGAGAGGAGAAAAAATGTGACCTAAATAGTACAAAGCATTCTCTGAGACTCAGTGAGGTTGTTTTAGCTCCGGATAAACATGCACGTGTGTGCTCACACGCTCACACACACACCATTGCATACTAAGCTGAATGCTATCTTTTTAAAAATAGGCCAGGTACAGTGGCTCACATCTTGTCATCTCAGCACTTTCGGAGGCCGAGGTGGGAGGATCACCTGAACCCAGGAGTTTGAAACCAGCCTGGGAGATGTAGTGAGAGCCTGTCTCTATAAAAATTTAAAAACCCTTCTCAAAATATATACTTAAGCTTTCCAGCAACATGTTTTCCAACCCCAGCTGGTAGGGCAGGGGAGATGTCACTCAGGCAGAGGCTGGGAGGCTTTCAGGCCACAGACTTCCATTTGCTAAGTGTCCCTACTCTCAAGGGCCCTGGCAAGGCGCCCTTTGTGAGAATAAAGAAGATCCATTCTGTTTGCAATAAGATATCAATGAGGTACTTCTTGGTTTTATTAGACATGGGAATTATCAATTCAAGTCCGAAGCGGCACAGCCACTGCCATATTAGAAAGATTAGTACCCGAGAGCCCAGACTGTCACCTGGCTGGAAGCCTCTCGCCGATGGCTCCCAGGGACCACTGACCTAATCCAGGGCCTCCTCCTTCGCACCCCACCCCCACCCCAACCTTTATGCCTTCTTAAAGTCCCTCAAGGAAGGGACCCACCATCAAGATTGTCCTTCCTGGCACCTAACTCTCCTGTCTTCTAGAAGACAGCAATGAGACTGTCCCTACAACGATGGTGCGTATAGTGGCCACATCTCGCAGAAGCTGAGATGGATCTCAGCCCTGCATTGTCACTTGGGAGGCAGAACCCAAATCTTAGTAAACAAAGACTTTCTCTCTTGAACCATTCACAGGAATACTGAAGGTAAAGAAAAAAATAATGTGTAAACCATCCTTTGGGGCAGAGGTTACAAACTCACATGCCTGCCTGGACCAGCACTGGGCAGGTGTCTTTTCTGAGTGAAGGGCAGTGGGGGATGGGAAGGGCGGGGGAGGGGGTGAAGATGTTGGGTGTGAGCCGCGGCAGACTCCAGATGACAGCATGTCCCATCCTCCACCCAGAAAACTAGGTATTTCTATATGCAATGTCCCAAGTGTTTTTTTTTTTTTTTTTTGAGACAGAACTTCGCTCTTTTGTTGCCCAAGCTGGAGTGCAATGGCGCGATCTCGGCTCACTGCAACCTCTGCCTCCCAGGTTCAAGCAGTTCTCTTCCAGCCTCCCGAGTAGTTGGGATTACAGGCGTGTGCCACTGCACCCGGCTAATTTTTGTTTTTTTTTTTTTTTTTTTTAGTAGAGACGGAGTTTCGCCTTGTTCGCCAGGCTGGTTTTGAACTCCTGACCTCAGGTGATCCGCCTGCCTCGGCCTCCCAAAGTGCTGGGATTATAGGCATGAGCCACCTCGCCCGGCCTGTGTTCCAGGTTTTAAATATTGGCAACAAATACAAAAAGTTTTGAAGTCTTATAACTCTGCCCTAGACAAATTCCAAACTTTAAACAAGCTCCCTCTCCCACCAAATAAGAAAACTTTAACCGGAGGATTACAAAGAAATTAATAAAGAAATAGAAAATTATAGCAGCTTCAAAAATACCAATCTCCCTGTTTTAAAACAAAATCAATAAAATCAGTGAATCACAATTCTTGACTCTAAGGAGGCAGCTGGGTGGGTCGAAGGGCAGGCAGCCCGCAGGACTAAAATGAGGCCTGCCACCAAAAACCCCAAATAAGATGCTGTCCTGCTCGTCCTCACACCATCCTCATCAGGCAGGGAAGGAATAGGGTTCAATTCCTTATTATGGAGAATCGATTGAGGCACAGAGCAGGGAGGGCCCCTCCTTAGTATCATAGAGCCCCCAGTCAAAACAAGCTTCCCATTGCACCATTTGGCACCATCGTGGGGAGAGCTGAAATAACGCATCAAAGTTAGGCAGCACCTTTCAGGGCGCTGAGCAAATGGTAGGCACAGTTGTGTGTCTGCTGAATAAACTGTGCAGCATGAATGAAGGGAGCTGTTCCCTCAGCTAGCGCCTCCCCTCCAGGGAAATCCAGGAGCTGCCTTTGCCATTCCGAAGACTCTGGAATTCTCCAAGGGCAGGCAAAAAGACGAGGGAGGTGATCGTGAGTTCCCTCTGTGAGTAAACACACAGCTTCCCCGGCTCTACGGGAACATCATCGATTGTATCAGACTCACAGACACAGAGGAAGGGATTCTAGAACCTCTGGGCTGTTTGCATTGAGCTTGGGCTAGGACCTGAGAGCTAGAGAGAGTCCTATACCCAAGAGTCCAAGCCCCTAGCTTTCCTTCTGTTCGGTACCTATAGGAATTCCCTAAGCATCCTTATGCCCAAAGGACTTGTCACAGAGAGTCAATGTCAACATGGGAAGAAAGAGGCTCTTTCTTCTCACAGGCATGCATGGCTATTTCTGTCCCGGGCCTGCAGCGCGCCCCGGCCGGACAAGCCCTCAAGGCAACGGGGTAGTCTTTATTCTGGCTTGCTCTGGGAGCCAAGGTCTGGGGAAGCCTGACCCTCTCTGTTCTGGGGAGCTCTGACAGAAAGAAGGGATTGGCTCAGCCAGAATATCTCAAAGGTTCTATGATTGGCATTGAATGGACCAATTAACTCTTTGCTATTGGAGACTGTTCTGCATATTGTGAGATGCCCACTAGATGCCAGGGGTGCCCCCACAGTCACTGTGACCCCCTCAACACACACACGTTTCCAATGCTGCCTGGAGGGACAACCTGCCCCTGGTTGAAAGCTGCTGGGCTGGTGGCCCCCTCATGCATTGTGAAACAGAAGCCCCTGAGATTGAGTGACATGTGCAAGGTCACACCTCAGCTCTGATGACTTCTGCTTCAAAGTTCTTCCCAGCTGCATTCTCAATGATGGGTGCACATGCATGTGCCTGGAAAACTGCAAACGCCCCGTGGGTTGCCACAGCACTGCAGAGCCTCAAAGCAGAGAGCCATCTGTCCCAGTGGCTCAGAAAAACCGAGCCAGAGAGACAAAATCACCTCCCTGTGATCAGACTCAGCAAATGCTGGGTAGGGAGTAGGTTTCCAGGGAGACACTGTTTTAGGTCCTGCTTGTCTTAGTGAGCCCCACTGTCTAGCTGGTAACTGTGAGTGTGGCTGGCAGGCCTCCAGCAGGCGGGGGCTTCCGAGTCCCCATGGAGACCTGGGGGCCAGTGAGAAGGAGCCAGGCCCCACTCTGTAAGTTAAAGCCAGGGACAGCGCAAGGGGCCAGCCTTCATCTAGAGTCTCCGCTGGGCTCAGCAGGAGTGTGGACAACTCCATCACAGGCTTTTGACCCCCTTCCAAGGTCCTCGCAGTCTCCATTGGGAAACATGGCTGTTAGCGCCAGCTGCTCCTCAGGTTCCTGGAAGTTATCTGGAATAAGAGGAGAAGAAATCACTGAATCAGAAGAGAAAGGTTGAGTGAGTTATCTAGGAAGGAAAAAGAGAAAGTTGGCCCCAGTAAATATCTACTTGAAAAACAAAAACAAAAACAAAATACACATCAAAAACCTTAACAATGTATATACCCTTTGACCCATAAATTTCACTTCCAGGATTTTATCCTAAGAAAATAATTAGGAATAATTAGTGGAACTGCTGGAGCTATCTTGCTACCAGCCTAGGCATGAAACTAACACTGAAGAAGGCCCAACAGCGGGAGCAAGCCTGGGTGCTTGGTGGGGTCCCTGAGCCCCTGAATCAACCAACTCTGAAGCCAATTCCACCTCTGGACTGTCTTTTAGGTGAGAGAACGATTTCTCTTGCTGCTTGTGCTAGTGTGAGTCATGGTATCGTTACTTGCAGTTGAAAGTGTCCTGATTCAATGTCGAACAATGGGACTGGTTGAGTAAACTATGGCTCACACATGTAATGAAATTCAGGCATTAAAGATGATACACTGAAAGAAGCACTAAACATAGAAAGGAGCAACCAGTACCAGCCAAAGGAAAAAAAAAA